AACTCATTCCACAATCAGAGCCTCAGCCCATTTCTTGTACAGTCCTCATATTCTGGTAAGCCCGTGAGGTCCATGATCTTTGCCCCTGTTGGAAAATTGTGGTGGTTATCTATTGCAGCCCTGTTGAAAGAAAATAGGGTGTAATTGTTATATTTATAGAAAATTCACAAATAATAAATGTAATTCAATAACAAACTTAGTGCCTACCGATGAGCGAAAACAATGCTTAAAAAACATAGAATATGAGTTAGAAAAATCTTATATCACATAACATCGCTACTATAATAGTAGTCTAAATCATAAGGTCCTGATGAACTAATGTTTGTGTTGAATTCTGTCCAACAAATGGAAGACTCAAACTCTCTTTATAACTCACAAATGATATGGAAACAATTAGATGATGTCATTTAAAAGAGTAATTAGAATCCATACACAAGTTTTAACATACACATATCCTTTTCACTTAAATTTAACATACACGCTAATGAGGTCTAACTGAGTGGAAAATGATTTGCAAACTAGAGGTCTCGGGTTCGAACTCCCATAGCATCTTAATTGTGTGTATGAGTTTAGACCATCGCTTATACTAAAAAAAAAAAAAAAGTTAAACATACACAACCTATCGTTGATGAAAAAATTAGAATCCATTAAAAAGTCATGTATTAAAAGAAGTACCATTTCTATATAAAAAAAAAGAATAGTTTAATTCTTTTCAGTTAAATTTTCCAAAAATTATAGTAGTTTTCTCTATCACATACGTAAGTCAAAAGTAATGGATAATTTGAATATCTTTATTAAGTAAAGCCCCAAACATATCTTAGAAATCAACAGTACACACTCATTATTATTTGAATTTTGAAACATAGACTTATTAAACCCAATAAGCCCAAACATATCTTAGAAATCAACAGTAGACACCCAGCAAGGCAAGCTCTAGTTCTTTCTTCTTTCTCATACATACAATCCAAACTCATAGGCTCATAGTGGTGCCGGATCAATGAAATAAGAAGCAACACTATCTTTCATGACTTTTCCAACATGTGTGAAGCCATCATCTTTTTTGTAGAGGAGATCCACCACTCTTGTTAAATTAAGAACAAATACAAGGATAGGCATTGGCACAGAGGTTGGTCTGAGGAACTCCTCGTTGATATCTTTCCACGAATCCACAATCTGTTTGTTGAAGGCATCAATTATTTCCTGATCATCTGACACCCCATATTGCTTCCTGTAACAATCCATGGCAGAAGCAACATGCCCTCTCTCTTTCTCAAACTGCAAAAATATAATCCAAAATTTGTGAATTGTAATTCTGCTTGTGTTAGATCATTGTTACTTTCTTAGGGCTGAGGCATTAAATTGGGTTCGTGATTTGTTTGAATTATCTGTAAAAGATTTGAACTTTTTGTTCTTGAAGCAAACTCTACCGTGGTTTTGGATTTGAGAATTGTGGTTAGAGTGGTTATAACAAAGAGTCTAATCCAGCTTGTCAGAGCAAAAGTAAGAAAAGGGATTAATTGTGCTCTATAATAAGCAATAGGAACCCTATAAGGGAAATCGACAAGTAAAAGTTAGGTGCATTGTGGTTATTAATTGTAAGCACAAATATTTGTGTTTTTAAAAGTCAGAGCACAAAAACCACTCAGTGAGCACAAAAATAAAACAGTGTCCTATGACCAATTTTGTAGTAGTGTGAGAAGCAGGGTAAAAATATATGGTGTGAGCAAATATTTTTTACAATAAAAAAATATAAAAAAATAAACAAAATTTGACGGAAGGACCAAAGCATCAGCATTACTAAATGCGTGTGAGGACTATAAAATTTAAGAATCATGTAATAGTGAACTACAATAGCTACTTTTGTACCTTGCTCGAAACAATGTCAAGCATGAGCCTACCAATGGTATTGGAAGCTCTAAGAATTTTAGGGTCATTCAACAACCACTCAAAGGACTCCTTGGTTACAATGTCTCCCATGCCAAGTAAAGACATAGTTGTAAGTGTGGTGTGACCAGCAGATGCTGTAGCAACACGCATATATTCCTCCATGCTGGGGATGTATCCTTCGTGGAACCATTTGGCCTCATCAAAGTAAGCTTTAGCTGCATTTTTCCACTGCATATATGGGACATAAATAATACGTAAATTAATTTAAAAAGTGAAAAGTAAATTAAGCTGTGTGTTTAATTAGTTAATTATCACATACAGCTTCTTTTGCATAGTAAGCTCTGTATGCTCTTCCTTCCTTCACCATCTCCTCCTCAATTTCATTGAAAACATTCAAAAGCGTACGGTAGAATATTTGCATGTACTCTGGCAGTTCATCCATGCAATTGACATTCCATTTGTAAATTACACACACCATATTCATCTGAAGCATATCTACAAAGCAAAATAAAAATTTGGTTTGGTTTTGTTTTTATTTAGGGCTTCTTAGATTTAGATCTATGTCCAAAAAGATTAGTTGCCATTGGGTTTAGTCCGCGAGTTTTTGGTTTTAGATGTAGGTCTTTTGACATTTATTACTTTTTTTGTTGTGTCGATTTTACCATTTGAAGTAAATAAGGAAAACACATTGAAAATCTAAATTTAATGAATTATTTCATTGTAATTGAATTCCATAATTTAAATTTTGAATTCTTTCCTTGATAATATTCCTAAAATATGGATAAAATGCAATTTAATCAATAAAAAGTAAAGACCCACATATTATACCAATCGATCAGACAAGCACCCACATTAAATTATGTACATGACATACATGTAAATAATGTTATTATTAGCAACAAAAAAAACTTAGTGGTAAATTGTGTTACCTATAAGTTAGGAACATAAATTAGAAGACTACCTATAAGTCAGATACAAAAAATAGACAAATAAAATTATATGTTACCTATAAAAAAAAAGGTACATAAAATACTATTACACATTATCGAAAATATGAAAAAACATATATATATACCTATGCAATATGCAACATGCAATATGACATAAATGATTAGTACTCGATTCAAGTCATAAGAGGCAACATTGGAATAAAATTTAAAAATAAAAAATAAAAAGATTACACCAAAAAATATTTAAAAAGGAATGTAAATCTTATGCGGCACAAAAGGCAAAAGACTTGGATCAAAAGTCACCAAAAAATCCGAAGATTAAACCCTATTTCTCAATGGGAATTTGGATCTATATAAAATTTTCTATTTTATTTACTTATAAAAATTCATCAAACCTTTGAACTGCTTCCGTAAAGATCTCGAGTTCTTCAAATGTACCGAATGCATCGTAGATATCATCCATTACTGCTATCAGGGCAATCACTTTTGTGAGAATGTTTCTTCCAACGAGGTATTGAGGCTCAAAATAGACCCCCACAACCCAGAAGTATAACTCCACAATTCTGTCTCTTGCAAAAGGCAGCTTCCTTTTGAAGTCTACTTCTTTCCACCACCTAATTCATTGCTAATATTAGTTAATGAATTACTAACTTAATTACATGTGCTAATCTCACATAATTAAAAGATAACCCACCTAATAATCTCACTGAGCTCCTGTTTGTGCAAAGACTGAACAAGATTGAAATCTGACTTGGCAAGTTTTAATAGAGCTTCATTATGTGAAGCTTCATCTTGGTAGATGGACATGTACCGACGGGTGCATAACCTCTCGAGACTCTTTCGGAGCGGTCTCTCTAGGGCTTGAGCTATTTGTTCTGCCAGTTGATAACTTACATGGGTTGTTGCCGACTCCAGATGTTTTGTTGTGAAAACAAGAGCCTCTTCTAGTATATCTTCTCCATGCACCCTCAGATGCGTTGCTTCATAAAAGCTTAGCATTCCCGGCACATCAGCGATTAAGCTTTCCTTGAAGCCTCCATTTTTACTATCTTTGAACTTGTTGAATATTCCTGCTCGATTGCAGCAAATGGACACATAACACATAAATATTAAGAAATAATTTTGGCCAAATTCAATCTCGTTACATTAATTTCTCTAATAACTTACCGCATGAAACATTATGTCCATGTTGTCTTAGTAGCCGAAAACCAAGGGAAACGGCATAATTTATCTGTACGTTAAATGAGCAAAATACATGTCAAATTTCTTTTGGAACCAAAACAAACAAACAAACATGCATTTAGTTATTGAAACATGATATATAAATTACAATATCTTCAGAATCATAATTGATAAACTGATCCCCCCAAATGCTCGGTTGGTAGTTTGCTGTCCGTCGAACAATTTGATCAGGCTTAGGAATTTTTGATTGAGATGCTGAACCAGCTTCTTGCGACATGATTTGTACTGGTGTAAAAGAATTTCAGATCTTTTGCTTTGCAAGTATGGAAAGATTGCTTATGTACTATTTATAGGGAAGGGATCGAATGTTTAAGGTTGTCCCTTATCTCTTGTCCGCGGGCCTGGCCAATTTGGAAGATATGGTCTTTATGTGCCCTTGCTCTTGTGGGACATCTTTTGTAATCTCAAGTGACCCTCGACCCACCATTTGTTCGAAACAATATCTTGTATAATATAATAGAATATATTGTTAGAAAATTATCATATTTGTATTTAATTTTTTAATAATGGAATGTAAATTAAATTGTGGGACCCGTGACTTTAAGTATATGACTTTTATGAATTTGTATGTATCCATTGGGAATAGTTATGTTCTTAACCGAGGAAAAATAAAATATTATTTATTTTGTTTGTGAATAAAATAATAATACTTTATGTGAAAAGTTGCATTGTTTCATAGAAATTGAAACATTACACTTCTTGGCTTAAGTTGCATTGTTTCATATGTGAAAAGTTGCTTTGTTTCATAGAAATTGAAACATTGCACTTCTTGGCTTAAGTTGCATTGTTTCAGAATAATTGAAACATTGCACTTCTTGGCTTATGGTTGCAACATGAAAAGGCACATTTGTTGATATTTTTCAGTCACATATTTTCTGAACAGAGGCCTTGTTGCCTATAAATAAAGAAGGTCCTACAACATTTCATTCATCCAATTGTCATCCAACAATAGTAGTTTTTAGAGCATTCATAGCATTATATTTTCAGAAATATAGTGAGTTAGTAAGAGAGAATTCATACACAAGTTTGAGTTTGCTTTTCTTGGGGATTGTAGTGCTACTTCAACAAGAAGTCGGTCGTTATATCCTGGGAGACGTTTGCCAAGCAAATCCTAAAAGCACCTGTGAGGAGGCAATTTCGTCTTAAGGAGATAGAACTAAGTTCTAGACTCGATAATTTATAAAGTATTCTTAACATTTTCCTTGTCATTATTTTATTATTTTATTTCAAATTTATAGTGAAGTTTTATTTTTGAAATTCTGTAAATATAGCAATTATCTTTATATTTTACCAACATATATATAAGGCTTTTAAATGAATCAGTACATAACAACAGAAAATACAGATACAAAAATTTGTATTAACCAAAAATACTAACTTGCAGAGATGATAGAGGCTAGCAGATTTAGGTCATTTTCACCCTTATCCTCTTATGTCATCAGAATTGGACTACTTATCCCGAATTTTCTAAAAATGTTAAGATAAAGAAAATATAAACGATGTAGATTTATTGCCAGAGAGGAATACTGAACTCTCAATGATTGTAGATTTATCGTCATAGATTCATATACTCTAAATTGAAGACTTTTCCAAGTGAAGCTTTTGGCTGCATCTACTCTAAATTGAAGATTCTTGATCAACATCAGTCAATTTAAAAGCGACTTTGATAACAACTTAACAAGTCTTTGGATTACAATTTGCACAAGATAATAAGAGGACATCGGATAACAAATGTATGTACGTGAAGTGAATTAGCCGAGCGATAATCAACTTGAGCGAGTGCCATTGAATAACTTGAGCGACTTTATTTTGTGATCAATATCTAGTGCTATTGAATAACTTGAGCGAGTGTAAAAAGAAGAAAATTGCTTCCGCATTTGTACAATTGACTGACTTGATCAATTTATTTGACTTTTCTATGAGGATTTGTACAACTTTTATAGAACGAAAGAGTAAACAACTCCTATAGTAGTGCCTACAACTATGCTATGCTATTTGCCCAATTACCATATTAAAATGTAGAAAATGAAATCAGCAGGCATCTGTTTTTTTTAAAAGTCAAATGGTAGGGACTGTGGCGTAGCCATAAAATTTTCATAGAAGGGCACCTCATATAGTGAAATATATTTTTCTTTAGGGTGATAATGAAACTACTTTTTTACTTGATACAAAATCCCTAAATTTTTTACTCCATTATTGTACATATTATATTAACTATCTACTCATCATGGATCCTAGAAAACAATCAAAATGAAATGTAATTTATTAAAAATACACAGTAAGAAAATTTGAATGGTAATTTAGAGTTGAAGTACGACAATAAGAGATTTCAAGGGGTAGCAATGATAGTGAGAAAAGGAAAATTAGAAAAATAAAAAGAAAGAAATGCATGGGCACTTCAAATTTTGGTTAGAAAAGTATGATTATATTAATAATACAATAGCCTAAAATAAAATTTGAGACGGGGCAGATGCCCACCTTGGGCCTCATCCACTGGGTAGGGAGATTGCATTCAACCACCTCTCTCAAAAACTCGTAAATCCAATCAACATGACAACTGTTATAAAATTAAGAGGATTTTGTTAAGAAATTTTGGAAGAAGAGAAAATAATTATGGAAAAACAATTCTAAAGAGCTCAACTATGAGTTCCTACTCATCTAATCTTGTATCTAGTGCTTCATTCTCATTAATTTTGGTGCCTATTTATAGGCATATGTAAAACACTATTCACTATAATTTAAAATATAATATAAGGTGGTGAGTCATATGGTAGGTTTCAATCATAACGGTAGGAATTTGTGGGGTAAGGATATAATGGTAGGGATGATCGGCAATGATGGGCATCCATATTATGATAGGTAATGATGGATATCCATATAAATCTTTGGTGATTTACAATAAGGATTTACAACACTTCCCTTTGGACGTCCACCATGCATGGAATATGCCTCATTAAAAGCCTTGCCAGTAAAACTCAGTGAGACAAAAACTGGCCGAAGGAAAAAAAAAGTACATAACCATGCGTAACATAAACATTGTCATGTGTATATAAAAATTACAATGTCTTTTGAATCATAATTCATAAACTGATCCCCTGAAATGCTCGGGTGGAAATTTGCCGTATGTCGAACAATTTGATCAGGCTTAGAACTTTGTGATTGAGCTGCTGAACCAGCTTCAAGCGACATGATTTGTACTGGTGTAAATTTTTTTAGATCTTTGCTCTGCAAGTATGAAAAGGATTGTTTATGTACTTGTTTTATAAGGAAGGGATGTCAACTTTTGAGTGGGATATCTTTTGTAATCTCAAGTGGGCTCAGACCATTTATCAGATTTAGGTCATTATTACCCTTATGCTCTTATCGTGTCCCTGCCAATCATAAGGGGATACTTTTTCTTTTTGTATGGGTAAATACCACGAGGTGTTCCCACATTTGAAGGGTGGGATTAATCCCCGCTCGGGTTCAGCTTGCCCCTGCCCACAAAGTGCTTCCAACGGGTTTCGAACTCCTGCCATTGAGGCACTAGGTAGCTCGCCAGCTGGAGGTTGCAGTTTGCCAACCGCACCACAATTTTCGAAAGCAAGTTGTAGTTGCTATCATATATATACGAGGTACCCGACTCCAAGCCACCTTGTCAAAATTCAGACACAGACCCAAGAGGTTTGGTCTAGCGGAAATCCTGGCTAGTCATGCAAGTTGGGCTCTAAAATGTTGAATTATTTGGTCGCCAATATTGAGTTATTTCGTCGCGGAGATTGCTTTTTTTATTTATTCTTTTGCTATAATTAAATTAATATAGTTTTAATAATAATTTTTTATTAAATGTCCCAAATAAAAATAGCTTAAGACTCATCCAACTAAAAAATTTACAAGTACATAACATACATTCACCATAAAAACATACCATACTACACAAAATTTCTTGGCAAAATAGTAATATACCATAATTAACAAATCATCAATGTCATAGCACCTGAGTTCAAAGTCATGTCTTATAAAAAAAAATAAAACTTACATATTAAAAATAAAAATCATTTCAAGTCTCTTTCGACCAGCAACATTGCCTCACAAGCAAGAGAAACATATGCATCCATATATACCGAGCGGATTAACAACTTGAAAATAATAAACTCCTATCTACTTGTTGAATCAACATGAAGCATCATCCCTTCTCCCAGCTGCTCAAGCCAAACCAACCAAAACAAGGCCAATATTCTTATATGAAACCAAGCAAACCGCCAAGTCAAATTCACGACCTGCAAACATAAGCAAAACCCAACCACATATAAATTCATTCTAACTAATTCAGTCATGCTGATTCACAACTATAATAGAACCTCTGGTGTAAATTCTTTAGTTTATAAATATTATTTCCATATCAGAGTGAAGAAAATAATGAAAAAAAATTATTAAGAGGGAAGATAGTTCACCATAACACTTGAAAACTTGCCAAAGGAAAAAGGAGCAGCCAAGCTAGAATATGTTGAGCATGATAGGCAGCCTTCTGCAAGCATGTAGTTTTAATACTTTAGATGCCTACCTCTCAATGATCAGCGACCAATTTGTTGGTCGCTAAATCTGACAAAATTTTTGGGCAACAACTTTCATTTGTAGATGAACCAAGTAAACTTAGAGACCAAATATTTTGGTCGCATTTAATTTTAGATTTCGCGGTAACCAAAATTGAAAAAAAGGGGACCAAAATTGCATTTGGTCGCGAATTCATTGAACAGTGTCAAAATAGTTTGGTCGCCTTTCGAAAATATTTTGTCGCCAATCAGTTGGTTGAAGTCTTAACCCATGCCTAATCTCACGAAATATTTGGTGACGAAATTACAAAATGTCCTCTCTAATAACTCTATTGGGTGACCAAAGTTGCGTTGGTCACCAAAACTCTGGTCGCAGAAAAGGTTTGTTCTTGTAGTCACATCACATACGCTGATAATTATTTTCAGCAATTATTGGCTAAGAGGGGAAAGAGGGAGGGTTATGAGGAGGAAGTGTCATTGGGGGTTTTGAATTTTTTTTTTTCCTTATATTATTTTAGAAGTGTTATAAGATTGATTGATCTTCCAGAGAAAACAAAAACAAAAAAACAAAAAAACAAAAAAACAAAAAAACAAAAAAACAAAAAAACAAAAAAACAAAAGAACAAAAACAAAAACAAAAACAGAAAAGAAAAGAAAAAGAAAAAGAACCTTTAAATTCTAATTA